CCAGAGGTGCAGAACTAACACCTGGCACCATCTACACAATCAACTTTCGAAACTCGGAGACGGGGCGAAACGAAAGTGCTCAAGGTAATTTTGCTCCGTTCTATCAGCTGACTGGTGCCACTTCGTGAAAAAAAGTAGAAAGTTTTCGATTAAATATTAAATTTGGCTTTGAAAGTGCCCCCAATAAGGAGACGTTTTTGCGTGATATTCCAGATTGGTTTTTCAAATTTTCTTAATCGCCGAGAAGTTCGAAAAAATTAACGTCTTAGAGGTAGGGTGGAAAAGGCGCTTCGCGGCTTCAGCCCTGACCGCCTTCGACTTAGTTTACGCTTTGCATCGGTGCGACCCACGATGAAAAAGTGAAAAAAGGCGCTCTCGCCCCTTATATAGGCTTCTACCCCCACTTCCGGTGTGTATGCTAATCTGGGATTATTAACCAACGGGGTCTCGTATTTTCAAAAAAAAAAATTGAAATTAAATTTCGAAAATAGGTTGTTTTGATAAATCTGATACGCGTGCAGCTTTCTCCAGACCATTGAGCACCTAATGGCGTATCAAACCTGCCGCTAACTACCCTTGCTTGACATACCGCTGCGAACACGCTGACGGAAGTTGCCTGCAAAGTGGCACGGACACAATAACACCATTTTATACAGGGTGTTCCAAAAAAGCACCCTCCGGGCATTTCGCCGCCTACATCTAATCCCGGTCCCAAAATTGGACTGGAGGTGGATCAGGACCCTAAATAACCACAACCCTGAGTTGTAGACGGATCGCTACAGTAGTTTTCAGAGTTATCGTCAAGATACTGTTTTTTACGCGGTTCCTAACAGTTTTTCGGCTATCGACTTTGTATCGATTTGCATCGACTCTGGTTGCGAATCCCTAACCTCGCTTAATATCGGGGGTGACTTCAGTTACAAAATTGTTGAAATCAACGGCTATTTCATTAATTTACCAGAAAAAATCTTTAAGGGTAAAGCAGGCTTGCCGCCCATTTTCACTAATATTCGAAGGGTCGATTCCGACGAAAACCATAAGAAAACGGATAATAAAGTTTATTTTTGTTGTATCTCGAAGATTACAGTAGCTGGCGGGCTATAAGTCAGGATTGTGGTTATTTTGGATTTGGACCAAATTTGGACCAGAGGTGTATCAGGCCCCAAATAACAACAATCCTGACTTTTAGCCGTATTGCTACAGTAGTTTTAAAGTTATCACAAAATGGACTATAATCCAGTTTTCATCGGGTTAGTTTGAAGTTAGACCCCTAAACATTAAGTGAAAAATGATTAGGTAGGTCTTATTTACCTTAAGAAATTTTTTCCTGACTAAAATTAATCAAATAACCGTCGATTTAAGCGATTTACAACACAAAATTACCGAAGTTCTCAAGCGAAATTAGGGATTCGCAGCCGGAAGTCGATGCAAATCGATGCAAAGTCCAAAAAGATAGCCGAAAAAACGGTTTCGAATTGCGTGAAAAACAGTATTTTGGCTATAACTTGACCACTACTGTAGCGATCGGGCTATAACTTAGGATTGTTGTTATTTAAGGTCGTTAATGGCTAATTTCGAGTTTCCCTCTGGTCCGCCATTTCGGAGTGCTTGGGGAGCGGTCGCTTAGGCCTAATAAGGAGTGCTTTTTCGAGTCATCCTGGAAACCGTTCGAGACATAGCTCATTCGATAGAGAATTCAATTCTGAACAAGGTACGCTTGTTCATTTTTGCAAACTGTCAATCCCCGATTTTATAAAATTAAAAACTAAAAATGACACTTCCGGCCGCCGCACCTCTGGTAAATCGACACGCGGGACAAGAACGCCCCCGTGCCCTCCCCACCACCGTCAGTGGTAGCGCAGTGGCTAACGCCGTTGCTTTCGAATCTTTTTGCTCCCGATTGAAGGTTCGGTTCTTCTCGGCTCGATTTCTTTTGCTTTTTGCAAAATAATGCTTTTAGCTGCGCAAGCTGATCTCTTTGCATTCGGAGCCGACGCGAGCCTGGTTTTACTTCCCGGGGATTCGGAAAGAGCCAGAAATACAACCAGAAATATCCAGTACCTGAGCACAATGCTCGCCAGACTTCGCGAACCATGTTTTAGCAAAAAGCAAAAACATCGACCCGGGAAGGATTCGAAAGCAACGGCGTTAGCTACTGCGCTACCACCGACGGTGGTGGGGAGGGCACGGGGGCACTTTTATCCCGGGCGTCGATTTACCAGAGGTGCGCCGAGCCTTGCGCCGGAATGTCATTTTTAGTTTTTTAAGTTTATCAAATCGGGGGATTGTCATTTTGCAAAAATGAACAAGCGTATCATGTTCAGAATTCAATACTCTATCGAATGAGCTATGTCTCGAACGGTTTCCAAGATGACGCGAAAAAGCACTCCTTATAAGCCTAAGAGAGTAAGCCGAACTGTCGGACCAAATGGAAAATAACTCCAAATTAGTCGTTTTAAAATTATCTTTCTCGAACGTGTCGGCGATTAAAGGGATACCCAATGTTTTTGCGGCAAATATATAGTTATGTATTCCGGAGAGTACAAATGACGCGCGAATTTTGTGCGGGAATGGGTGCCCAGTGCCGCACAGAATTCGGACCCCTTTCCCTCTTGTGGCGTCCCCATCCCAAGCAATGGCTTGCCACTATGGCCTAATGGATAGCATCCAGGTCTTCAAGAGGGTCCGGGGTTCGACCCCCGCCCGCGTCGTGGTTTTTGCTTTTTGAGCCTCGGAAAGGTTGGGTATCCCTTTAAGCAAATTTGGAAAAAGCAACCTGATTTGTTCAGATTTTTTCTGCATCGAATGAGCTAGCTTTTGATTACCAATCTGGGATGTCACGCAAAAACGTCTCCTTGTAAGGGGGCACTTTCAAAGTCATATTTAATATTTAGTCGAAAACTTTTCCACTTTTGTTATCATTATGGTGGTTTCCGACCGTGCTCTCGTCGAATCCGAAGAGACCTGAGTTTCAGCTCCTTTCCCCTTCGAGTTGAATTCGGCTTCACACGGACGGAAAAAGACCACGGCAAAATTATTATAGTTGATGATACATGATTATTATTACACGATTTTAGAAAGAAGTGGAAAAACTGGTGCTGGGCAGACGTTTGAATGAAGTCGATGATCAGGACGAGATCTCGCGGATACGCGACGCCCATGAGCGCTATATGCCGGTGTGTTCAGTGGGCTTGCAGAGTGTCCCCACATAAAGCACCCTCCGGCGATTACCTATCATTATCTCGAAAATCAACATCTCGAAAATCAACATCTCGAAAGTTCATTATCTCGAAAGTTAATTATCTCGGAAGTTCATTATCTCGAAAGTTAATTATCTCGAAAGTTCGTTATCTCGAAAGTTAATTATCTCGAAAGTTCGTTATCTCGAAAGTTCGTTATCTCGAAAGTTCGTTATCTCGAAAGTTCGTTATCTCGAAAGTTCATAACCTTGAAAACTCGGTCCTTACCATTCTACTCCACCTTTGTTATCAACCCGATATTGATGTCACAAATAAAATAAAAAACATTTATTCCGATCATTTAATCAAAGGTCTGGGCAATTAACTTGACGAATTTAATGGTTTCATAAGCATCATAGCTCTCGCAGAGGGCTTGTCGCGCCTGGCAGTCGGGACGCAGCTCTTTAGCCTTGTATCCTTGTTGCTGCATTTCCAGAATTCGACTGTTCGAAATATTTAACTTTCGAGATAATGAACTTTCGAGATAAATAACTTTCGAGATAACGAACTTTCGAGATAATTAACTTTCGAGATAATGAACTTTCGAGATGTTTATTTTCGAGATGTTGATTTTCGAGATGTTGATTTTCGAGATAATGACAGAACCCCCTCCGGCATTTGGACGTATTAAATGTGACATCCATACTTTGCAAAGGGGTGTATCGGACCATAAAATAACCACAATTCTGAGTTAGGCTGATCGCCTGACAGTGGCTCCGAGGTATCGCTAAAATACAGGGTGTCCAAAAAACCCCACCCTCACCCCCCTTGGCATCTGGCCTTCTTTCTATCGGATCGAGACCAAATTTTTGTCAGTGATGGGGACCCATAAAAACTATGTGCAGCCGAATTTTCTAATCAAAATATTGTAAAACAAAAAAATTACAGCTAAAAAACTCAATTTTTTGGCGACGCCGGTACCGATTTTTGGCTATGTTCTCGCAATTAGCATGCCAATTTTGAGTAATTTGCCGAAAAATTGTCATTTTCTGGCCGGTTTCTGCCGATTTTGGGAATAAAAAGTGAAAAAGTCCAAATTTAGAAGTAACCAGTGTTGAAAAGCTGCTTCGTGACTTTTCAACCCTGGCCCTGTCTGACCCCATTTTATCCTGCACTTTGCATAATTTTCCTGCGTGCAGACAACAAAAACTGAAAAACAACCTCTCCTGTCCATTTATATAATCAAATCCCCATTTCCGGTCTATCCTAATTATTCCTAACAAAGAAGTTTTCACAAAACTTAAATTTAATGTCGAAAATCGTGATTTTGTTGAATCTAAAATGCGTGTAGTCATCTCCAGACCATTCAGCACCTATTGACGTATCAAACATGCCTTTTAACTACTCCCTTATTGAGATACTTACTGGAACAACCTGACGGGAGTTGTGTGGAAATGTACACAGACATACTACACAGACACAATTTTTTTTTATCTCTAGTAGGATTTTCGTAAGTCAAAAACTCCTCCGGCTGGAAAAAAAGTGCCCTCTTCATCTTTACTAAACATTTCGAGGTCGGAAATCCGTCAAATCCCAGTGAAATCGGAATTATAAGCCATAATTTCGACTTTTTGTTTTACAATATTTTGCTGAGAAATGTCGGACTACGACCGGAAAGAAATGCCGCGTGGACGACGTCCGTTCGTCCACCCGTGATTTCTTTTCTTTATAATTTTTTTTCTTTTGATCGCGCCTTCCTCACCCCGTATTTTAGGCGGTTTATGCGGTACATCGATCGCACTACTACCCAGCCCAAATGTCATGAACCAGGTAGGTAACTCCTCGCTTTTCATGAAATCGACCCCCTTGCGGGCCGCCATCATGTCCGATTGTGACGATTTCGGTATCTATCGACAGCTCTCGAAAAGGCGAGAAAACAAGCACTTTATGTTCTTCTTTATAGTCATTTTAATCCACTAAATTTGGGCCGAAAATCCATGAAAACTGCAAATTTTATGCAATTGCAGCATGCTAATTGCTTGCTAAAGCAAACATAGCGATGCTGATTTTACTCTTTTTGAGAAATCGTTGAATATCGAGCGCGGGCTAAAAAAATTTGTAAAACGAAAGCACTTGTTTTCTCGCCTTTCCGAGGGCTTTCGAATGGTGTAAAACCATCCCGATCGGGACCTTTCTCCGCCCCACTAGAGGGGGTCGATTGTTTTGGACACCCTGTATGACGAGTTCCATTCGCTGTGCCGGATTTTGCTATGCCGATTGACGCTGTGCCGATTTCCGCTATGCCGAATTTTCGCTAAACCGAATTTTCACTATGCCGAATTTTCACTATACCGAATTTCGCCATGCCGAATTTTTAGTATACCGAATTTTCACCATGCCGATTTTCACGATACCGAATTTTCACCATGCCGAATCTTCGCCATATCAATTTTGATAATCGGTATGTTCCCCATTTTTTACTATTTTTCCAAATATCATGGGTCTAGAAAGTTAGAGTTAGCCTAGAAATTTCCAAAAAAATAGCGAAAATTCGGTATAGCGAAAATTCGGTATACTAAAAATTCGGTATAGCGGAAATTCGGCATAGTGAATATTCGGCATAGCGAAAGTCGGCATAGCCAAAATTCGGCATACCAATAATCGGCATACCGTAAAATCGGCACAGCTAAAATCGGTACAGCAAGTATTTACCGTACTTGACACACCTGTAGATGAACAGGCGGCCTAACTATAAAAGTTGGGTGCCGGCTGGGGGGGTAAACTACACTCTAACCGAATGTATATTTTCAGGTGCATTGATTATGTATCGTAGGGCATCTGCACTGGAAGTGGCCGTATCATGCACTATAAGCATTTCGATTATGTTCGATGACGCCACCGTCCAGACAACAATCTGAACAGTTCCCATTTTTCTCCACATTTCTTTGCGATTTTGAATTAATAAATACCGTCGGCCAAACAAAACGATTCCGAAACGCCGCGAGTTTTGATTTCCCATCTTCGGCTTGTCTCCAAAATCACGGAATTTCACGGCCTTCAAAAAAATGTCAAACATTTTAGGTTGATTTTCAGCAACCTGTTCATCTGGTTCAAGTCCTGTCAAACACGTGAGAGATTTGTTGCCACGAGAGCCGTCTGATGTCAACAGTCCTTATCATTCCTGAAAATTGATTTGAAAACGCCGTTCGATAGAGGGCCCAGCCTCCGGCAGACACCGCTCTTCAACTGACACCGGGTCCCTCGCCTCCACCCCTGGTCCCCCCTGATTTTCGGTATCTTGGTCCGAAAAGATGCGCAATTTTTCGTAGAACATTTTCATTTTTTTCAACTTTCGGGATAAAGCTATGGCAAAATTCTATGGCAGTTATGGCAAAATTCGGGGGTTTTTCCGTTTGGAGAGTAGAATACAAGTTGCACCGTCCATGGACAATTCCGCGTACTAATTTTCCTATACGTGCCTTTTGATTAGGGAATGGGATAGCGTGTATTATGAGGCCAGCCGGCTCCGCCTTCTTCATTCTTTCTTTGGAACTGGAAAATCCAAATGTTCCAAATTTTGATATATAGAAAGAAAAATCGCTACCAAAGCCGCTCTTGGCGACGTATAGTTCCTATCGCCAGGCGGTTATCGCGCACTTATCGCGACCATTACGACATGGATTCTCCTGATTTTTGAACAAAAAATTTATTTTTGCGTTTATAAAAATTTATATAAATTACCAAATTTGGAACAAACACCTAAAAACATTGAAGTAGTCGATATATACCGAAAGCTTATTATTCTGTACAGGGTCTCCCAATAAAAAACCTTCTAACTCGACGGATTGCAACTAGTCTGGAAGCTTTTATTTGAACGCGGGATTATATAAGCAATTAAATCTTCGGCTTTTTGACGATTTTCTTCTTGCGTTTCGATAGATTATATACATCCGGCGTAACCGTTAATTTTCTAGACGCGACGATGGCCGGCCCTTCTACTTTGGCCGATCAGCTCGAGGCGATAGCGGCGATCCGATTTTGGCGAAAGATGTTGAAATAGTAAGTGGCAATGCTCAACTAATCCCCTCGTTTAGCTGCCCGCCAACTACACATTTGAGCTGCCGAAGACGATATGGAAAATCCGGCATTTGGGCGCGAAAAACGGTGAGCGGGCCCTGGTTTTTTCCGATGAGGTCGTTCATTTCCCAGTGGCCCTGCAGTTCCCGGAAGGGCTGCTGATGTACGCGTGTCTGATCGCCGACATTCTGGAGAAGCACACCGGTTGCGAGACGGTCATCATGGGCGACGTCACCTACGGCGCATGCTGCGTCGACGATTTCACCGCCAAGGCTTTAGGTATTTATTTTCGGGCCTGGACTGCTAGTTGGGGGGCGCGGTGTTTTTTCGCCAATTATGACTTTTGATTATGTAATCCATTTTTAAAGGGTTGTTGGTAGTTTTTGATTGCTAAAGAGTTAAAAAATGTTGAAAATTCAAAAATTTCACCTTTTTTCACCTCTTGCATTCTTGACCAAAGAAATCAATAATTCTCGAGAACTTTGTGAGGTTTTTTGTACCTGAAAACGGTGTGAAATGCTGTAAAAATGGTGTATATTTCGTTATAGGTACGGAATTACTGGGAAAAATTAGCTTTTTCCTGCTACCCCCCGCTAACATTGAAGTACCATCTTTTTTCTGCTAAAAATACATTTGTTTCTAGGCTGTGATCTGCTCGTCCACTATGGGCACAGCTGCCTCGTCCCAATCCAGAATACTGAGGGCATCGCCATGCTCTACATTTTTGTCAACATCGAGATCAACCTCTCGCATTTTGTCGATTGTCTTAAGGTGAGGAAATGTGAAAATCACACAAATTTTCCCTTTTTAGGCCAACTTTGAGCCGTTGCAACGGATAGCGATCGTCAGCACGATCCAGTTCATCCCGTCGTTGCAGGTTTGCTTTTTTTGATCGGTTCTTCCGCATTACCGGGGGGAAGACAAAGTTTTTTTACGTAGAATTTCGTACAATCTTTTCGTAGAATCAAATTTTTCTATAAAAAGCGCGGAACGGTTTCTACTATCCCTAAACATATTTCGATTGTATCAAAAAATGCATTTATTTTTAGAAATAAACAACTCAATAAATTTTTATTAAAAGAGATATAAAGTAGAGAGATTTCGACCAAAAATGGCCGTTTTTGACCAAAATTTCGACTTTTTGAAAGTTTTTGAACCTTTTGGATAGCTTTTCTAGCCGAAATGTAGTTTAATTTTAATAAAAAATATTTCTATTCTCAAAAATCAAGGCTAAAGGATGGCCTTCCCCCGATAAAAGAGCCGTTTCATCGCCAACCTTTTCGTTTTAGGCCGTTCGACAGCTGCTCATCAATGACGGGTACACGATTGTGATGCCGCAGTGCAAGCCGTTGAGTCCGGGCGAGATCCTCGGCTGCACGTCGCCGCGGCTTGGCGATGATGTGGACCGGCTAATGTCGGTTTTCTTGGAGATTCTGTAGGATTCGCGCGGGGGAACGAACTTTTTTTTCTGGAGGCTTTTCTGTTTGGCCTAGGAATCAAACTTAGATTGTTTTTACATTGTTTTTCGTAAGTTTTAACTACTTTAAAGTAGAAAACTTTCAAAACAAGTTTGAAAAATCGAAAATTTGGCCCTGTTGGCTCGGAAATAAGCATTTTTTCGACATAATACATAAATTTGGGCATATTTTTTCGAGGCAAAAAAACGTCCGAAAACTTTAGAAAGTGAAAATTGCTATTTTGGTCATCAAAAACGAATCTGAATTCCCGAATCCTAGAATTCATAGGTTTTTGTGGTGTTTCTGTGTTTTAAAAGGGTCCAAAACTATTTGGAGTCAGCTGGAGATAGCGCAACAGCAAATTCATCATCATTTATATCCACCATTTAGTTACCTCGGCGACGGGCGCTTCCACCTCGAGTCGATCATGATCCACAACCCGAAAATCGCCGCCTTTCAATACGACCCTTACTCCAGGAAGTTGACGAGGTAAAACGGGTGGTGCTCAATTAAATATGGCCTTAGGGAGCACTACGACCACTCAACGATGCGCAATAACCGCGGAGCGGCCGTGCGGATAGCCCGGGAATGCACGCGGTTTGGCGTCGTTTTGGGGGCGCTCGGGAGGCAGGGAAACACCAAAGTGCTGCAGGTAAGGTTTGCTACCTCCATGAAGTCCTGAAATTGCAGGAGCTCGTCGACAAGCTGAAGAGCAAGGGCAAGGAGGTGACCGTCGTCGTTCTGTCGGAGATCTTCCCGGCAAAACTCGCGCTGTTCGACGAGATTGAGTGGTTGGTGTTTTTATAGCTATCCTAAATTTCTTTTAAATTATTCCGAAGAGGAGCGTTATAACTTTATATTTAATGGGGGAACTTTCAGAATCTCTAAAATCTGAATCTCTAAAAATCAGAATCTCTAAATGTCAGAACCTCTAAATTTCGGAATCTCTAAATTTGTTTGTTCAAAAACCCATACAGATTTTGGCGCAAATTGAAACTCTAATGCGCTTTACGCAGAATCGCCTGTGAAAACTTTTTCTGGGGTAATTTTTTTGCCCCCGAAAAACGTAACCGCGGATCATGAAATATTTTTTCAGCTGATTCCCGATTATCATTCTTTCGAACAGGGGGACCTCAAGGATCAAAGCGCGGCCACGCACGCAAGTGATCCGTACATCGCCATAAATGGCGGCGTGACGGGACCTTGATGCACTTCCATAGCACCATTTTGCCGTACTGTTGCTTCTAGGCCCAAAACTTATTTTTGCCATAAGAAATTCAATTTTAATTTTTGTGATTCATGGTTACGTTCTTCGGGATCAGAGCAAAAAAATTAGCCCAGAAAAAGTTTTGATAGGCGATTTTGGGTAAAGCGCATTAGAGTTTCATGTTGGGCCAAAATCTGTATGGGTTTTTGAACAAACAAATTTAGAGATTCCGAAATTTAGCGATTCTGACATTTAGAGATTCTAAAGTTTAAAGATTCTATTTTTAGAGATTCTGATAGGGCGGCTATTTAATGAATTTATGATTGTTCATTATAAAACTTTTATACGGCTAGTGGTGCCTTATTATAGTTATTTTGGTCCTGTTCTATTTCGAGCGGGGGAGAAATTTACCTTGGCAGAACTTGGATATTTTCGCTACTTTTTGCAACGCCATTCGAGACAGCATTCAAAAATTAATAGAAAAAAAGTTAGTGCGAACACAAAAGTAACTTTTGAAACTGCTGGTTTTCTATATTTTCGCTATTTTTTTCGATATTTTGAAGACACTGTTTCCCCCCGTAATATAACAGTACCGTTATTTTTATATGAAATAAGATCTTTGAATTCACAATTAATTATCTTTTGTTTTTAGTTGGGTGCAAATCGCGTGCCCTCGACTGTCGATTGATTGGGGAACGTTCTTCACCCGCCCGCTGCTCACCCCCTACGAGCTGAACGTGGCGCTGGATTCGCTCGAATTTCCGGATGGCTACTATCCAATGGATTTCTACGCCTACGAGTCCAAGGTACGCTCGGGGTTCTGGGCTGTTAGCGGGGGGGGGGGATTTTCAGTAAGGCGGACCTGTGGATAATATCAACTATAATAATTTTCTTGACGCGTCCGTCCGTCCGTCTGTCGTGTCCCGGATTCAACTCGAAGGGGAAAGGAGCTAAAGCTTAGCTCTCTTCGGATTCGGATAGAGCATGGTCAGAAACCCCCAAACTGATTAAAAAATTATGAAAAAGTTTTTGTTTAAATTATTAAAATTAACTTTGAAGGTTTTTTCCTTAGTAAAAGGGGTGGGGACGGAGGTTGGGGTGATTTTGGACATAGTGAGCCAGGTCGCGCGCGTTTCGTGGATGAAAATTTTCACGGGGGATTTCATTTCTTTTTTTCTCTCACTGCATCCGGTCGGTCGTTATTTTAGTTTTTTAAGGGGATTTCGGCTAGGGGAGGTATCTGAAGCCATCAGGAAGGTATTTAGGTAGTTTTTGAACGGGATTTCGGCTAGGGGAGGTATCTGAAGCCATCAGGAAGGTATTTAGGTAGTTTTTGAACGGGATTTCGGCTAGGGGAGGTATCTGGAGCCATCGGGAAGGTGTTTAGGTAGTTTTTGAAGAGGATTTCAGCCATGGGGGGTATCTGAAGCTATCGCGAAGGTGTTTAGGTAGTTTTTGAAGGGGATTTCGGCTAGGGGAGGTATCTGAAGCTATCGGGAAGGTGTTTAGGTAGTTTTTGAAGGGGATTTCAGCCATGGGGGGTATCTGAAGCTATCGGGAAGGTGTTTAGGTAGTTTTTGAACGGGATTTCGGCTATCGGGGGTATTGATGGAGGTGGGAAAGGATGTGGTGGAGTAGGACATGTAAGGTAGCCCGAAGGCCAGATGGTTGCAGTCGCGAAGCGACTGTAACCATCTGGTATAATATATTTTGCCAGCGTTTTTAGTAGTTTTTGATTGCCAAAAAGCTATCAATAATATTTGTTTAAATTTGGAAAATTATACTAGCTTTTTCGCCCATTTTGGTTCTTTAGGATGTCCGGGGGGAGGGAAAGGATTTCCGGGGGGGAAAGACCCAAAATGACTAAATTTGCGACTTTTTCAAACATTTTTCTAACTTTTTGAAAGGTTTTTCTACTTTAAATATAGTTAAATATTACTAAAAACAATGTGAAAACACTTTATATTTGATTACTAGGTCAACCGGGAAAACCAGGAAAAAATTTGGTTCCCCCCGGAAATCCTAAAGAACCCCCATTTTTCATACATTTTTGGCCAGAAAGCCAAAAATTTTCTAGATTTTTATTATTTTTGCAGTGTTTTTAAACATAAAAACTATTGAAAATGCTATAAAAATGGTTTATGTTTTGGGTATAGAGCCGTGGAGAATCACAGGGAAAATTTTGGTCCCCCCCGCTAACAGTCCAGAACCGAGAATATTCCTATTTTTTTTTTTCAGGGTCCATGGACGCCAAACCACGAATCACACCGGCCGCAGCGCGTTCGCCGTCGGGCCCCGATCGTCGTCGGTCAGTCGGCCAGCTAATCGAGCATTTTCTAAGATTCTTATTTTGATTAACTTTAGCCGTTTTTTAAATTCTACCGTAGTTTTTTTGTGTTGAATTTTCGAATGTTTTGTTACGCTTACGAGATTTTGCTTTGTAAATTATACCACACTTTTTGTTCAGTTTTCAAAAATTTTGTGCTATTACGCCGCTTTTTGCATGTTGTAATTTCTTTTCGTTGACTGTGCGCGATACGGGTGTTTGTTGCGAGGAATAAAACGTTCAAGTGCGTGTTGGATACCGACGAGTCATCTTTTTCTCAATTTTTTTGACTGGAATTTATAGATCTCACTGGAAGCTGGCGTTACCGGTTGAAAATTTTGAATTTGATACGTTTGTTGAGAGGAGGGTCCTAATAATTTTTTTCATCCCAAATCGAGGAATGAATTGAGTTCTATCGGTTGCAGTGGAGTGGATATGGCGCTACTTAAGTTTGCTGGCCCCACTTATATATGGCTAAAACTTCATTTTTCTGGTTCAGTTTTTTGCGCTGATTACGGAAAACACTATCCCAGTCCACGAAAATGCGATTTGGTAAAACAATTAAATTGGAATGTCGGGAAAATTCCATTTGACGGCGGTCGCGTAAAAGGAGTCTTTTTGTGGTTTTTAATTAAATAATGGCCAAAAACGGGTTTATCATGAATGAAGTAAGCCAGTAGCATTGTCAAGCAAGGCGGGCCGTCGTTTCGGATGGGCTGCCGCTCCACTCTTTCGAAATCGGGGCGCCTGGCCGCTTCGCGCGCCTCGGGCGCCCCGATTTCGAAACCCTGTACGAGCTCGCACCCATCCGAAGCGACTAGGCCCCCGGGTGGCACTAAGCCTTATTTTCAGGAAAAAAGCGGATGCAATCGCTCAGCCTCGTTGGAAAAAGCTTTTCCACTGATTTATAGGCCTCCTGCATCAAAACCCCAGGTTGAACCCCTTTAAAAACTCAAACCTGAAAAACCGAAAATCAAGTGTTTTCTCCCCTCAAAATTCACGATTTCATTTTCGTGGGCTGGGATAGTGTTTTCCGTAATCAGCGTAAAAAACTGAACCAGAAAAATGAAGTTTTGGCCATATATAAGTGGGGCCAGCAAACTTAAGTAGCGCCGTGGATATCAATAGAGGAATTGGTTCTAAACTGTTTTTTACCTAAAAGTAAAAATTTACAAATTTATCATAAAATATACAAAAATGTCCATTTTTCGAGCAAAAATTGTCATTTTTGACTAAAATTTAGACTTTTTGAAATGGTTTGGATAGTTTTTCTGGTTGAAATCGAATTTTTTTAATTAAAAATATTATTTAACTATCTTCTATTAAGTTACTAGACATTTCTTACTTCCCCTCGCCCGAATAATGCGAAAGAACCTGAGGCTCAATTCGCTCTTGCTCACAACGACTCTCAAGTCGCAAAAATGGCCCCTATTGAAGCAGAAAGCATAATCCTGTTTTCCATAACCAAATCACTTCCGGTGATCGCAAGATGAACCCCGCGAAATGCACTTTTTCTCAACCGCCACCGGGTGCAGCTTTACAGTGGGCTTTTGCCGATATATTGACAACACGACGACGGCTTCTAGCAGCACAACGATGGCGGCCGACGTGAAGGTGGAGCTGGACGCGGGGGCGTTGATGCGACGCATGCAGGAGGCCGTCTACAAGGACAAGACCAAGGACGACAAGGAGGTGCTCTACAAAAAAAACCCGAAACATGTTTTGGTTGAAATTTTGGGCTGAACTCCAGATACCCCCCCCGCTTTTATATCTCGACCGCCTGTTCATCTACAGAGATGTAAAGTATACCACAATGTTCGCCTTGCTTTGGCGAGTATTTTAGTATAATTTACACACCTGTAGATGAACAGCGAGCCGAGATCCAAACGTTGGGCGCCGGCTGCGAGGGGGGATCTGGTGTCTTACCAAATGTTGGCCGAAAAATCCATATTTCTGGTATTTTTGTGGTTGTATTGATTCAGTTGTTTAATTAACTCAAAAGGGGGTGTTTAAACACTCAAAATTTCAAAAAATTAACTTTCAGGTGTGGGCCGTCAAAAACGAGCTGACGCCGGCCATCATCGAGGAGGTGATCCGGAGAGCCACGTGAGTGATTGGCCCCTACTTCTGGCGCCCATTTCTTGGAAAAGTCAGTGTTCGGTAACCAGATGTCGCGGGCTGGGGTCCGGAGGTCCTAAAGGGGAAAAGGGTCCGGAGGTCCTAAAAAAGGGAAAATCGGCGGAAATGAGGGCGAAAATAAGGGGGGTCAGACAGGCGCGCGACTAGAGTGAAGTCTGAGGGAAAAGCAAGTAAAAGGCTAAAAGTGAGAAAGAAAAAGCGCTAGAAAAGAGAGAAGTGACTGGTAGATGGAAGGGGAGAACGTATAGGGCCATTTGAAAGGAAGGGAAAGGGAGAAAGGGCCATGATTGATGTGCAGCGATCGGCGACATCACCTAAACGGGACCGGATTTAGGCATGAAGCGGAGCATGGGACGATTTCATATTTGGTGAGCAGAAAGAGAAAGGGTTTTGCTATGAAATGAGGGGTCGATCATCTTGCTAGCTCTTGGGAGGGCAGAGAAATTGGGGAAAAGGTGCGGAAAAAACAGGCCAAATTTGGGGCGAAAAAGGGCCCAAAACATAACCTCGGCGCGGTTTTTTCGATTTTTTGACCTGAAGGAAAGGTGATAGAGGGATGCAATGTATAGAAGAGTTGTAGACTAGACTGCGGGCTACAGACTGGTGGAAAAATTTTGAGAAACGGTAGAATGACGGCTGAGATATGCGGTGTGGAAAAACGTAGGCAAAGGTTGCGTCGCGGAGCGATTTTCAGACGTCGTCACCTTGGAGGTCCTGGAACCACTTTAAATTTGGGTTTAATTTTAACGTCCAGGATATCATTCGACGCAGAATTTTCTGCTCTACATTTCGGTAATAGATTTTAAAACTTAATAGTGGCAGTAAAAAAAGTTAGAGGTGAAAAACTGCAAAATTGACTATTTCTGAACACGGAGGTCCTAGGATCTCGAAAACGAGTCCGATGACCCACCTCCTTTTTTACGGATTATAATGTAGAAGGGTTTGGCACACATTTTTGTAATAGATTGCTTTTGAAGCGGGAGAAGGGATTTAGAAGAAAAAGGCGAAAAACTGGGAAAAAGTGGTTTTTTTTGGAAAATTGCTCGTCGCTCGAAATCGAGTCGGATGACCCACCTCCATTTTTTCGGATTCTGATACAGACGTGTTAGGCGCACATTTCTCTAATACAATGTTTTTTAAACCGGCAACGGGATTTAGGAGTAAAACGCGAAAAACTGCACAAAAACCGTCTTTCTCGCTCCCTATCTGTCTCTCTCTGTCTCATGTCTCTCTCTCCGCCTCTCGCTCACTCTTTATCTCTCTCTCTCTCGCTTCTCTTCCTCTGGCTTGTTGATTGATCATGCTGACACTGCTTGCTTTACTGACTGCTTTGTTTGGTCATATAGTAGGTTTAGTACATATTTATTCAAATAAATGCGAATCTTCATATATTTATTGGTTTATCCAAGCTGGAGGGTTTGTCAGCTTCACGTGGTAGATTCCTTCTTGCCGATACCGCTGGCATCATCCTGAAAATAAATTTTTTAGACCCTATATATCAGGTAAAAATTTTTCGGCCCTCCGGGCCGGACGGAGGTCCATTTCTTGGTACAGGGACCCCGGAGGTCCTAGTGACGTCTCAACGACCACTTTCCGAACACTGGGAAAAGTCTCACGGGTTAAAGTGCAGTTTACCCCCCCGAGCCCCACCTACCGTATCTCGGCTCCCTGTTCATCTACAGGTGTGTAAAGTATACCAAAATACTCGCCAGAGCAAGACGAACATTTTGGTATACTTTACACACCTGTAGATGAACAGGGAGCCGAGATACGGTAGGTGGGGGTCGGCTGGGCGGGTATACTGCACTCAAGCCGTCTCACGTGAGTCTAGCACACCGTTTGCAGCCCGATCATCCGCGCCGAGCCGATGCGCCTCGAGGTGAAGGCGCCGGTGTACTGCGTCGGCGACATCCACGGCCAGTTCACGGATCTGATGCGCATCTTCAAGAAGACCGGGTGGCCCGACGGGCAATCGAGGGTATGGAAAAACATGCTTTTGGGTTCAGGGGCCCCCGTCTAGCCTAGCAGCCGAATACAACGGTTTTTAGTAGAGTTAAACATTATTGGAAACAGAAAAGGGTCGAAAAGCTTCAGATCAGCCTTAAAATGTCGTTGCTTGGTCCGGTTTTAGTCTCAAAATAGAGTTTCCGCCCCAAAGATATGGATTTTGGAATAAATTTTGCAAGGATTCTACGTGTTAGCACATCAAAATAGTCAGGTTTTGTAGAAAAAGAAAAAGAACAGGAACATTTGCTGGGTTTTTTAACCATGTAACGACAATTCCGTACCTTTCCGTTCTTTCCGATGTACAGTTTGCGTATATAGGTGGATTGCGTATTACGTCTCGCCCCGTTTTGTTACCTTGTAATCTGTATATCTCGCGATAGAGATTTTTGCGATTTTTTTTGTACTGCCGTTGCATCAGCTTAACTTACTGCCCATTTTGACATAACAAACTCCAATTTTAGCTTAGAGACCGGATACTTCAGTAGCGAGTTTGAAACTTGATAGCTCTAGCTAGAAGTGTTTCCGGAAAAGTTTTGAAGCTATTGATGTTTGGGGGGCATTTTTTTTTTTGGTGGCCTGGGTCTAAGCTTAGGCTTAGCTTTAACTTTGCGTACGCTTGGCTTAGACTTAGCTTATGCCTAGGCTTGGCTTAGGCTTAAGCTTAGCTTAGGCCTAGGCTTGGTTTTGGCTTAGCTTAGGCTTAGTGTAGGCTTACATTAGGTTTCGCCTAGCCTTAGCTTAGACTTAGCCTAGAGCTAGCTTAGGATTAGCTTAGACTTGGGCTTAAGCCTAGGCTCGGCTTAGGTTTGGCTTAGGCTTTGAGACAAGCTTAGGCCAGAAAAAGCCCCCC